AGGTTATCTGTTGAAAAATATCAGATTTCTTGGATCACTCTGGGTGGTTAATTATGATTAAATTTGCACTAACTACAATGGTTCCTCTTTTTATTGAAAAACACTGGAATGAAAATGGATGGCAGTGGCTTATATCTGAATTTTAATACTAGTTTTACCCTTGTGTTATATGATCTTAACTGCAGCCAAGGGAATATTGGCAGAATAAGTTAGACTGTCTAAAAAAGATTCACATTGTGAAAATAATCTAATGACTTCCAATAATTATTAAATGAGTTCAGGTCAACAGCACTAATGAAGACTGAAAATTATTAAAACATAAACTCTACCCTCAATTCGAAAATGCAGTTTGGCAAGGAAAAGGAAAAAGAGAGAAACAGCATATAGTAAAATATACATACTACTTGCAAATATATTTGCAAATCAAACATAACATTTAATATATGCAAAAATAATCTGGGGATGGGGAAGCTCATCTTTAAATCTACAAAACACAGTAAAATATATCAGAATAACATTGGATATATAGATTCTGGTTTTATGTAAGAAAAGGACACAAAGTGTTGAAATAAAAGTTAAGTTTGTATACAAATTCTTTACTTAACTGTGAGATATTTCATTATAAGTCATCATAAATCAATATTTACTAGCCTACTTTTAGAGCTATTATTCTAGAAATCTACACACCTCAGTCATTTCTTACTATTCAATTTACTAGCTCTTATCCATCACGAAATATTTATTCAGAATAAAATACTTATGTTTCACTGAAAGTCATAAACATGTTACAGTCTTTGACAAATAATATGTAGTTTTATATAAAGTGACAGACTATTACAACATATTTTGGCAATAACTGTTTACAGTATTCAGCAAATATTAGTAAAAAATAAAAATTTGTAATATTTTTTTAAAATAAAAATTGTGATACCTAAAATTAAAAACATACAGAACTCTCGTAACTGCCAACCTTGAAATATGAAAAAACAGGCGATTCTCACACCCAGAATCAGGAGTTTCTAGGAGGCTTTTTTTGTCCTGCACAGGGAACTCAGATTGACTTAAATTTGCTTTATAATGCATGATTCAGAATATTTAACTATTTATAATCTGACTCTGATGTAAAATATTTAATTTTAAAATAAAATTGTAAAATAATTAAAGTATTTAATTATGTATTCCAAATTTTATGTTCTTTGGTTAATTTCATTTTGTAATTTCCTTACACTTTTAAACAGAGGAAATCCCGAATAAGGAAAGCTTAAATTTAAGTATTTTTAAACATGATAAAAATTAAATTATTACGATGCCTTAATTAATCTAAACTTAATTCAACCAACTAAATGATGACTAATGTAAATATAAATAGCATTATGTGGATAAACTTAATAATGTACACACAAATGTTAACTGATTAAACATTAGTTGGGGCTCCATAAGGATTTCTACAAATGTTTACAATAGATTAAGAGAATTCAGATGAAATCAAATTTAATAAGAAAAATAATGCTGATAACCATTAGGGGTAGGAAAATTTAAGTTGCACAATTTAAGTTTGATTTATTGCTGGAAAACACTACCATAAGTAAAGGCTAAAAATGAAAAACCGGGAGATTTGGTGATCTATCAGGAGACTGCGAGATATGACTAATCACCAGGAACTACCGGTAAAATCAGAAAAGTTGGCAGCAACGGATTCTATTTCTTTCTAAAAGTAAAGAAGTATTTCATTTCTCAAAATGAAATTAATATTTAAAAAAAGTAGCTAAATTATACAAATTTATAACATATCATAAAAATAAAATTATTTTCACCAAAATCATAACAAAACACGCATTTTTATTTTTTTATTTTTATTTTTATTATTATTTTTTTTTTTTTTTAAATTTGCTAGTAAGAAATACAAATTTAAGTCTGTAACAAAACATTAAAGAAATTTTACTATAAAAGTAATTACTTGGCAATGAATGTATTTAAAAAGGAATGTTTCACTTTCTTTAAGTGACATTTTTAAGCAGTCAAACCCATTTAAATGCTTTTAGACATTATCCTAAACAAAACTCTTTGCATATATAAAAGAGCATATAATCAATCCTGAGAAGGGAAGTCAATTTATAATCATTATAATTTATAAAATACTAAATTTAAAAATCATAAATTACATATCTGCAACAATATACTCTAAATCAGAAAATAATGATGAAATATATTTTCTTCAATATTACCTGGTAATTATTATTCTAAAAATATACAACAAAACCAGTCTCAAAAACCTTTATATTTAAATTTATTTACTATCCTGCACTTTTAGCCTAAATTTTATGTACTTTCCAAGTTTATTTGGAATAATTTTCTTCTTACATCTGGCCCCAGAAGTGCCGAAGTTTCTATATATTGTATTTGAACAGACAAGCTGGCTGCGTGAATATTTTTCGTGGTTTTTACCATGTGTAAAACAAATCTAAGCACATTTCCCTTATATAGCCATCCCTCTTCTTAAGCAGATAGCACTTGCATGCCTTGCTGCTTTCCAGTAATCTAACCTAATCTTCTGATATCTCTGTATCTGAAATTGACTTTAACGTCAATTACACTTTTGAAGTTCAATGACATAGTTATAATTTTCAGCAACAAAAAAGAATATCTCTAGCAAAGCAATATGTCACATGAGATTCAAATGGTGCATGAATTTCTCGGAACTAGGTTTTTTACAAAGTAATGGGATCTTCCGAAAACTGAGAGGGGAACAAATGATAACTAACAGGTCAGTACTGTATTTCTTTTACATGTATTATGAAACACAAGGAAATAAGAACAGAGAAAGCTATTTCATTGCAATCTTTACAGTGATTAAGTTTGTGACTGATTAAGATGTGCTAATGGTATGTATTATTGGTAATTATTGGAAAATAGTATTCAATTAAAAAAAGTCTCAGAACTTTTATAGAAATTCCCTGGTGATGAATAAAGGCTGTGACCAAGTTTGATAAACTTTAAAACAAGAAAGTGAGAAAATGTTAAAAACAGTTTCCAGATATAGATTAATATGCAAGTCCACAAAAGTTTGCAATCCTATTCATTCTGCTCTTCCCTTCTGCAGGTCCATTTTTTGGTAAAATGTCCTTTCTATGGAGAGTTGGGAAGGAGAAAGAGATGTAGATGACGGATTGTGCTTCCTTTTTAGAAATATAACTATGCAACTTTCCTTGAACCTCATAAATATATTAATTAGGAAGAATTTATGACTATTACTAACTTTAAAAAACTGCTTGAAGGAAGTCAAGCACCAGAAACTATTGACAGATTCTTTTTATTAAGGAACATGATAAATGTTTAACTGAGGAAAAATCTGAATGCACTTATTACATATTAATAAAATACATACATGTGTATAGCAATACACACAATATTAGTATGAACCTCTATATTATAAAATATTCCTCTATTCCCATGAGAATCAAGAAAGCATGTACAGTATTTTTTTAATGGTGTAAAAATGAAATTATTCAAAACTTCATTTACTGTTATATAAACCACTGAAATTTAAATTTTGCAGAAAATGTTCCTTTCCTTTTCATCTACACACAATTACTTCTAACACACAGTTTACAGAATTTTTTTTTTCTTTTGCAAAAAAATTAAGTTATTTTGAACTAATACAGTTAAAACATTACTGATAAGTTAAAAATAAGGCAAGTAAAAACTCAGAGCTTACAGTATTTGCTATAGTTACTGTAATCAACTACACACAAAGGCAGATATTTATATCCAATTATGTTAGCAATAATTCTCAGAATTATTCTTTAATTACTTTTATGATGTAATTCTTGCAATATAAATAAGTTTTCTTGAAGAATGCAGATTTTAAATACGAGCAATGCAGGAGCTGCAGAATATTGGAAGGAATATAACTGAATAGGTTGACTCACTGGAGCAACCCCCACATGCATAATGTGAATTCCTCATTTGGCAGATAGTTTTAGTTTACGATGCCTTAATTAATCTAAACTTAATTCAACCAACTAAATGATGACTTTCAACATCAGAATAAATATATTTCCATGTAAAAACGGAGAATTTTTTATACTAGCAAAAAATGTAGGGCTATTGCCATTAGCCAGTAGAAAGCGATATATCCCCAAATAATAAATTTAAAATTAAAATATTTATATTTATGATAAAAATTAATTTAAAATGAGTTGCTTTAATTTTAAACTTGCTTAGAATGTTGGGTTTTGTTGTGTTATCGCCAAAATGAATATTCTGATGTTGGCGAAATTTGCACCCAGCTTTTCCCATTCTTGAACTTGTTTTTCTTTTATCAAGGTATGCTGAGCAAATAGTTTGAACTATTTCATGTAAGAATTTCTCTACCAGCTTATCTTTCAAACAAAAAATAAGATGGCACAGGTATTATAGATTGCATAAAACACAGCAGATGAATTGACAAAATGTGCTAACTTCAGACAGATTACCAAAGGTAAACCTATCATCGTTGGATCTAGCATTTTATCTTAATGCGATTTGAATGGAAAATATTCCACCTGTTTTATCTGCCTGGCAACATTTCCACTGTGACTTTTGGCAACACATTTGAAAGTTTCAGGATTCCCCTCCCATTTCACCTTGAATTTTGGGTAAATTTGTTTTATTTTTACATTTTAATGAATTAAAAACTTGCTGTCAGATGGAAACGAATTTCAGTTATATGAAAATAATATGGCCAAAATAGTAAATGTTTTTATGGAACAAAATTATTTTTTTAGTATGGTCTAACCAACAAGCAATAAACCCTTTTGTTTCGACCATTATTAGACACTCACTGCCAACTGCCAAAATACTCTCGCAGTTGGCAAACTAGGTTTACTTACCGGCTACAAGATAACTTATTACTGATCTCTTCACTTGACTGATCGAGTATGATTATTGCCAAACTAAATGTATGTAATGTTTAGGTAATGTGTGTTTGGTATGCAGGAAGGGACTAAATAATACACTTGACATACTGAAATAATTTATTTATTTCTCAAAATGCAGTTAGCAAGTCATTTATTTCTCAAAACTATAACTATAGGTTTAGAATGCAAAATTATTTTTGGGGGGGGGATATTCACTTCCGACTACTTAAATTTTTGTTCAGGGACTTGTATAAGACTAATAGAAAATAACGTATCGCACACGAGGAGTTTTGTGCAAATGTTCAGAAACGGTGAGTATTGTTTCATTCAATCTGAGTTATCTCATAGTTGTTACGAGGTCCAAAAATATTATTTCATAAGCTAATAAATATACTCATGTGAGTTTAATAACTTCTAAAAGTAATCTGTTACATCTATATTAAAAAAAAATAATAATTTAAAAGCATAAAAATGCAGATCTAGCATGTGTGAACAAATGGATGTAATCAACTTTGGCAGCAAATGCATTAGATTTAAGAGAACATAGTGTTGATTAAAATGGCACATGATTCTGTTGGGAATAAAAAATATTAATTATGTTCCTCTCCAAAAGAAACACAAATTCTCCAATTAACAACAAAAGCAATATTAAGGTAATAGGAAAAGCTATACTACATAACATTATAAAAAGCAACTTTTGGAATGCATTATTCATATTCAACGAAGGGTTATTTGCTTAAGCCTCATCTCAATTCTGACTAGGAGCACCTTAGGAATCAAATGATCTTTCTCAAATATTAACCTTTAGAGAGAATTTTTAAATGATTGTGTTAAATATCTGATTTTACAATAATACTAAAGTCGCAGATGTCCATCAAGGGTTTCTATTATCAAAGGTTTGAATTTCAGTTCATTAGCAAGGTAGACAGCAGACTTTGCTAACCTCAATGTTGCCTTGAACAGTGAAAAATTTAAAAAGAAAGTAGCATATAATTGTTTTACAACAAAATTGAATATTGACCTTATGAAAGAAATAAGCTGCAAATGAAATAAATGCTCCAAACAGAAAAAATGAAAATATTTACATTGGAATCATTTTATATGGGTTTGACTTTACACACATTAAAAACCTTTTATTCGATAAACACTGTATTTTTTAATAAGAAAAGAAACAGCCTATTATACTTATTAAGCATGGATTAATACATATATATATATACACACACACACAGAATATTTTCTGTATCAGCAGGGAGGGAAAAAATATGAATCAAATATGTTCCTATGCAGAACTTACAATGAATAAAACCTCTGAAGTTGTCAGTAGACTCACACAATATATTCTGCTCTCCTTTGAAGTGGTGTAAAAGGACACACATAAGATGTTGCTAGGCAATACATCTTAGGTCTCTACATCCACTGATAAAAACTGATGAATTAGTATTAAGAATACAAAGTGCAGTTCCATATTCTTAAAGATGACATCTGCTACATATTTGTTTACATTCCTTTTATCTCGTCATACATATTTTATGCTTATATTAGACAGATAATCTAGTGCTGATAAGGCATTCATGAAATTGCTTTTAAACCCATGACATGTGTAAGTCATTACGTTAATATTTATATATTAATCAGAACAATTAATCTGGTTTCAGTGCACATACCCACACATTTTAAAACTATGCATTATATATAAGATGGTCTAAACATACACACAGATTTTAAAAATTTGTAAAAGGTGAACTAATTAATGGGCTTGCATCAAAATGAATTACAAAGAGAATTGCTTTTTTGGGCAGGATGTAAATATTTGCAAATTTTTACCAATATATGGCACTACACCATTAAAAAGGACAGAAAGGATTCCTAACAGTTGATTCTTCTCCTTGCTATCAGATGATCAGCAAAAATAAAGTACATCAAAAGTCTTTTTTATCAATAGAAATACAAAACTGCATTTTCTGCTTGGTTCATCAACATGGGATAAATATCTTGCTAGCTACAACTCCACAAATTGTGCACCAATTCACAAAATGAATTGCTCTTTACATACAAAATGCTCATTTTAGAAAACTTTGAAAAAATAATCTTGTATATTTGTTTTCTACCAAATGAATTTTTTTAAGAGGTCAGATGGCAACTGAAACTAAAGAATTTTCACAGGACCTTAAACTATCTAACAAAGATGAGGTAAATAATTATAACTTGAAGGGAAACACATTCTAATGTATTTCGCAACATTAAAAAAATAAACTCTAGAACTTAATAAATCATCAGTCTCTCTTTTCTGATAATGTCTTATTAACAAATGCATTAAAATTGGGTGTAACTGAAAGTCAATGTAGACAATGACTGAATATTGACTGGTAAGGTAATTTTCCTTCTGAATTCTAAATGATGATGTACTATTTTAAAGGCAAGCTATTAACTTAAAAAAGATCCTATTAGAAATCCTATTTTAACTGCATTTTCTGTGTAACTTATACAGCTTGCCAATGAGCTGCTGCAAGAAGATATATTCAAAAGTCGGTTTTAAAAAAATTCAGCAGCAAATATATCTGATACTTCTGAAAGAAAAAAAAAAAAAAAAAAAAATCTGCTGCTTTGTCTTTGTACCCTCAAGTTGTAGTGTACCTACCACTTGTGTGTTAGGTACACTACAGATTTTATAAGGATAGAAATAAGAATAATAAACTAACAAGAAGAAAATAATTAAGAGGATTGAATTAATTCTTAAATAATTACAAAATAACAATGGATATTTTGACAAGGTTGTTTCTTTCAAGTAACATGACAGTAACAATTTTTATAATTTAAAAAATAAAGGTACTTCCAGATTATCCGCTTCCCCCCCCCCCAGTTTCCCAAAGCTAATATAGAAAGACAACAGCCATTTTCAAAAATGCTAGCGCACTAAGAATTACATGAAACAGCAACCAATTAACAAAATTCAATTAAGAAACGGCCTCCATAATTTTTTTATGTGGTTCTTCTAATGTACACAGGTATCAGTTTTAGCTTTAAAAAAAAATCAGAGAATTGCACAGATTTTTGATCCATAAAATTCAATCATTCACAGAATGTGAATCTTTCTGTTCTATACTATTGGATAAAATGTTCTATTACTGAAGTAATAAAATGCTTTCTTTTTCATTAGCCAAGAAACTACAAAAATCCCATCACAATTGCTTACACAGGGGAAAAAATGCATTAATACAACAAACACTAATGACTGTCAGATCTGAAAGTGTAAATATGCTGTGTGCACACATGGTTTAGTTTGCCCCATAAAAGCATTTTGCTGATGCCATGGGTTGCCCATTTTGAGGACATAGCACACTGCTTCACGAATATTCTTCAGAAGGGTAAGGATAATTAGAAAGTACAAAAATAAAATCAAAGCCTGAGAAACTTTCCGCTACCTCTTATAGCTCAGAAATACCTAATAAATTTGTATTAAACAGCTTCTTCTGCAGACAAATGTACTGTATAATAACCTTTTTGTTATCAAATAACATGTGAATAAACTTTTAATACAATTGTGATCATAATAGCTACCAACAACATGGATGAACATTATGTATTGGCTAAAACCTGAATTAATATTTATTCCCAACATGCCAAATCCCTCCTTGCAATTTATTTTTATGCAAACCATAATTCCATTACACTCATTACTTTTGAATATAAACACTTTTATAAAAATTGTTAAAGACTTTTAAAACAAGCAAACTTATACATACACAAAAGTCATCTCCATATCACAATAGAACTGGTACAATGTATAAAATCATAGTTAAGGAAATTACCATAAAATAATATTTTAAGACTTTTAGACTAAATTTGCCAAGCATTCAATGTTAAAATTTATATCTAAAATCTTTTAATTATAATAAAGCCTAAATAATTTTTCACTATAAATATACATCAGTTAATATTTTGTATAACTGTTAATAAGATTACAATTTTATTAAACCATCAAAAAATAAAATTAATTTTATAATTCATCACAATAAATTCAAACAATGAGTAAAACATAAGACATACAAACATTTAAATTATAGTTTTAAAATGAATAATCAATCAAATTTTTAAAAATTTTTGTGATTTTAAAAACTTGAATAACCATGTCTTATTGAATGAAATTTTATATATAACATAGCACACTGCATCTAAAAAGTTATTTTGAAATCTGCTTTCCCCTTTAATTAATGTGAGAAAGAAAACACATGATTTAATTTGAATAAAATTTATGTAATTCAAAGTACTTTTGGCCCCCTATTTCTTTTCATAACAATGTAAAAGTCAAATACAATGTACACAAGGGCAGACAACAACTGTACAAACATAAAATACACCACTTTCTTGTACAAATGATTTTTCTCACAAAGAAAATGACCATATGGGTTTTTACAAACTGTACAATTTGGCTCCTTTTTGATAACAAGAAGCACATTTTCTCCTTCAAATATACAAGGTTCTCATGAATGAAATAAATGTATAGATGAAAAACTTTTGTCTGACACATACAAAATGATAATCATTCAGAGAAGTCATGTTTGAATTTTGGATGAGCATCAAATGGTAAACACTTCCCAGAAATCAAAGACTGTATGATCCATTCACTAGATACAATCGGTATCTTTCTCCTCTTAGCAGACTGTAAAATTTCTGGAGGACACTGGCCATTAGTGATGAGAACATCCACATAAACAGAACAACCTGTAAACATACTGACATATATTAAAAAGTTTGAGAAAAAATGTTATCAAGTTATTATTAAATGTTTCCTATATATTCCTTTGAAAGTCCTTTATTATGCAAATTAGCAGCAGGTGAGTGGTTAAGTTGCTCATCATTGACAGTTCAACCCCAGTTAAAATCCTGATAATTGGGCTTTTCACAAAGGCACATAGGCACATAGCCCATGTATGCTTTGCATAGTTAAACAAATCAAACCAAATTTTTATTATATTGCCAAAGATTATTTTAAACAACTCAAATTAGTGAATGTTCATTCACATTAAAATCTTATTCAATACAAAGGAGGAAGAAATATATATGGATATTTTTGAATTTTTATAGTACATTTTTAATGATTTTTCTTTATTATTTTAATAGATATTTTATACCAACAAAATTACTAAACAGTTGAACCTGTTTGTGATGATTTTTAAACATTTAACGTTCCATGAATTTTACCTTTAAAAAGAAAGAAAAAAAAAAAAAAAAAAAAAAAAAACCTATTTTAAAACTATTTTTTGCTCTTTTCTGTTCAAAATTCAGTTAGCAGGAAGCACTGTACAATGTAACAGCAGAAAGAGCATTTTACACCTTTCAAACAATACAAACTCTTTCTTACTCATGGTTTCAAAATTTAGACCAAAAAACTTTCAGTAGTTTAGGGGTGGGGAGAAAGATTAGTTATGTTTTACTAAATTCTCACAACTAATAGGGTGGCCGAGCGGTAAAGTCGCTGAACACTGGTAGTTCGGTCCGAGGTTCGAATCCCGCGAACGGGCTGGCTGCATGAGCGTTTTCGTGGTTTTCCCCATGTGTAACGTGTATACGAGCCAGTTTCCCTTAGAAAGTCCTCCACGAAAGCATCCCTCCTCTTAGGCAGATAGCCCTCGAGGCTTTGCCACAATCACACACACACACACAACTAATAGTTGTTTATTTAATAGGTGTTGATAAAAAACATTGAGGGGGAAAATGGTAACGTTGAAATCAAACTCATACAAAAAATGAAGGGCATAGTGAGAGAAAGAGATTTGAACTCTCTTTATTTTTTGCTGATGAACCCCCCCCAAGAGAACATACATATTATACTTTGTATTGGTATGTAATGTAGAAGATATTTAGAATTATTTCCTTAAAAATTTCGAAGTACAATAATTAAAGCTAAACACATCATGTTACACAAGTAATTTACAAACTCAAAAATTAGGAAAATTTTCAGACTTATATTTCTGAAATTTGGAATAAACACCACTAAAAGATAAGTTCTGAACCCAAAAGCACCCTAAAAATTAATTTAAAATAAAATATGAAATCACCAAAATTCTGGTAATTATGCAGTCCTAGTCTTGAAATTATATTTTGAATATATGCAACAGTATTTTGAATGTATGGTTGGATGTCAATGGTTTTATTATTACAATTTCATATAATATTTTTTCTTAAGGTATATAAATAATTATAATTACTACTGGCATAAGCAAATCTGCTTTGCATTTATTTTAAGGAAATGATACTATACAATTTTTTTTATGCTTGAAATAACACTTTTTTTTTAATCAAAACTTGAATGATTTTGTTAATAAAATTTGGGAAAAAATCTGAGTCATAGACAAATTTAAAAAAAAAAAAAACCTCATATTTTCTTCCATATTTGTGTGAATAATGGAGATTCGCTCAAGCTCTTTAAAAATTATAATCTTCTCCATTGTAAAATATTAATACATTTAAAAACACCATCCATTAAAAACATTTATTTACATAATATCTACTGATTTTATTTTATTTACCTGGTTTGGCAGATGAAGGAAGAGACCATTTCTGAACAAAATCAGCTTTTGAAGCTAATAACACTGGAGCCCAAGTGTATACAAATGGACTTTCTGGGGCTGAAACAAGGGCTATCTTCAAGCCTTTGAGCACATCTTTTTTCCCATGCCTAATACACAATAAGTAATAAAACATATAAAAACAAAATAATAAAATATTCAGAATACGTCACTAAGAATCTTAATATGAAACATTCTATATACATTTAATCAATGAAAATAGATATTTAGAAATTAACTAGGAGTTTTTTTTTTTTTTTTTTTTTTTTTTTTTTTTTTTTTTTTTTTTTTTACAATTTATAATAAAAAATGGAAATGGAACACTTTATCACAAAATCTATCACATTACTTAATTTAAACAAAATAAAAATTGTACTAAATTTCAAGAGCATGCATGATAAGAATACATCAAGATATATTTGATAATGATTTTTTTCTTTATTAAAATTACTGCTTTAAAATTTACTGTTATTTAAAATCATTTTTAATGAATTGTTTAATTATACCATGTACTAATTGCCAAATAATTGTCAAGCTATAACTGGAAACAAATAATGAACTTTTTGCATCACACACAAAGGAGGAAAAATCTTATGTGTACACCACATGATTTCCTTGCACATTTAAATGCAAGAAAAAATATGCATATTAAATTATGCACATTTTTTCTTGCATTTCATTCAAACTTATTGGATTGAATTAAATCTACATCGTTGATAGCGCATAAACCACAATAGAATAAATGCAATTTTAAAAATTCATTATATTTGTTTACTATAGCAACACTCTGGCACTAAGTTCACTTAACAGCATTACATTTCATCCATATTATAACTCAGAATGCATATACATTTATATCATTTGAGGAATCATCATTGCCGCATGTTCTATTCAAATACTATAACAAATCTAAAACGATGTGTAAAAGAAATTAAGTAAACAAAACAAAAAAGAAACAGTTTTTCACAGACGATTCAGTATTTCTCATTCAATTAATTCAGTTCTCACTTCCCGACATGGCAAAAATACATAAAAACTCAAAATATCTATATTAAAAATTACAAAGTAAATGTTAAACGCTTATTTCTTCGAATAAATTCCAGAAAGGATTAAGCATGATTTAATTCGCAATAATAAAAGAAGCCATTATCTCTGTTGTTGCAAAGCTTAGTTTCTCTAGATTGGCAACAAATCTGCTATTTTGCCAAGTTTAAAATACAAACAAACATGTCCGCCATCGCAAAATTCATTAGGTGTACCTGTACTTAAACAACTTTTAAATTATTTATTAACTCCACAAAAATTGCATACAGATTTACTAAAGGCATAAAAACCTTAACCGGAAGATAAAAACAACATAATTCAATCATTTTTAAAGCAAAAAATGCACAGTTTACAAATATATAAGAATAAAGAAACTGTGCTCACTGAGCCGAGTAACAGAGTGGATATATATATATATATACTTTTGGTTCGGCCAATTGCAACCAAAATACGAGGTGCACATCTACATGTTATAGCAGTCCTACATACAAAATTTCAACGTTCCGAGGCTACTCGTTTTTGAGTTATGCGAGATACGTATATACATATGTACGTATGCACAGATGACACGAAAAATTCTCTTCAGAATTCACTTTAAATCAGTTTTATAATTTTTTTTTTGGGGGGGGGAAGAGTGCTTCATTCTATCGTTACTTGTGGATGTCACACAAAGATATCGTTAAATTGCATTGGATAGTGGTCAAAATCGATATTTTCGTTGAAATATGATATCCAAAATTTTTCACGATTACAATACTTTCTTTTTACTTTGTACAAGGAAGTAAAAAAACTAAACGAGAGATTCAGTTTTTACATTAAACAAAAATTTGAAAGATTATGTAGTACAACCTCTATTTGGCTTGTTCATTTGTCAGGACTAGGAAGTACTCTAATATCCATTACATTTCCTGAATTTAAGCCCCTATGACTATAATTTGATTTCTAAGATGGAAGAACTATGCTGTAGCATTCATTTTCATACGGTTCCAGGGATTCTTCAGACTTCAATATTTTATTGTTACAAATAAATGTGATAATTAGCTTCACACTAATCTATTATTATTTAATATAATAGTACAATCAAGCTACTAATGTTTTTACTGTCATTAATTCATTAATACTGATACTATTAATAGTAACATACTAGTAACTTTATTACTGAGGGATAACTCAATAAATTATACGTCAATAATGATAGATACAGCAGGGATTTTCAAATAAATATTTCACACAAATATTAAAAACTTAAATTTTATACCATTCAACTATTTTCTGTGTTACCAAAGAATATCCAGCAGGAAGGTAATAACTTTGCACAGGCATAATTTCACCCTAAAGAGAAAATTTTTTAATAACATTTGCTAAAGTAAACTGTCATATCTAACAAATAAAATTGATTAACAAAAATGCAATATCTCAAATTTATAATATAACATTTTAAATACAAAAATGGAATAAGTATTTTGTGTTTCAATAATATTAAATATAGGACTTTATATTTACATTATGTTAATACATTGAAAATCAGTTATTTTCTATTATATGTTGCAAAACTGCTTGATGATGGATTTAATTATACAAGATCATCAGTACACTCATACAATAATATCTTTTAAGATATATATATAGAAAGATAATTTAACTTTTAAAATTATGCAAAATTCAGTTTTAGACCCCACATCAGAAATTCATTAAAAGCAAGACATTGTCATCTCTAAGGCTGATAAAGGTGGCCAAATCATTGCCATGAATAAATACTAACAAAATCCCAGACTCTTTAAATGAAGCCCTGTTGTGCACAGTTTTTAAAGACCCTTTAGCTATTGAGCTTTAAATGATAACACATTCTTCCAACTTAACCTACTACTCTTTAACACTGCTTGACCTTAAATTACCACTTTTCTGAACTTTAGGAATAACACCTAAAGTTCAGAAAAATATATTTTTTATGCAGTTGTTTCTAATTTGGAATTTTTCTCATATTGATTGATCAAATATTTATCTACCAGATTTTCTCAATAACTTATTGATAATATTTACACTGTAAAAAATCTATTAAAATTTTTTAACAAAAGGATTTTTCCCAGCAAATCAGTTATGGTTTCTTTTGTCCAGGATCTGAATTATTTGAATATGGAAAAGCACATTACAGCGGGATCTGCCTAAAGGTGAACTTTTGAAGTTATTTCACATAGAGAAGCAATACAGTATAGAGCATTTCATTTCATACAAACTCTAATTAATAATTTAACTTTTTTCTAATAAATACATACTGTTTTTATAAATAATGCATTAAACAACAAAAGATTAATTACGGGAAATACTCCTCAATCTCATTCTTACTGATCTTAACCATGCACTATTCTGCAATTGAAATATTAGGAAAAAACTTTTTCTTATTTTGAGTTATTTGTGCTGATTTGTATTTTGTTAATAGCAGGAGAGATGACTAAATAATAGCTTATAAATTAAGAATTTTATGACTTTACCACTTTTGTTTCAACATTCTAGTAAGGCAGAAAGTTTAATTTAACAATTTCAATTATGTATTAGAAAATATTCTCTTATCAAACTTCTTCCTAATGAGGGGGGGGGGGGGACTTCTTTTTCCTCTTACATTTAACTGCACAATTAAGTTTGTTTCTTGCATCTAATTTTACTTAAGAACTCATAATAATCACGATCTGTTGCTATTAAAAGAAGACCATCTTTATTACAACCAATCTCTATTACATGTTAATTTGTGGGGGGGGGAAAATTCCTTCCAGGAAACATATGTTCAACCACAAACTTCCTACTGTTTCTTAAAACTTTATTTCAAAATCCAATCTTTACCTTCTACCCTTCAATTCAGATTCAAAATGTAATTTATTATATGCCATTTTGAATCAGAATTTACATTATTACATTAGAATATTTACATTTATTTCTGAAGCAATGTTATTGCAGATATGGCAAAAAATGCAGTTTCTTAAAAAAGAAAGATTTGCATCAAATCTGCTCATGAAGTGAAGGGTTTTATTAAAATTAATGCCACTATTAGGATAAGTTTTCAAAACACACAGAATCTTCAAAATTAAAGAAAATAACTTCACAGTATTAAATGAATATTAATTTACATTCCTTCTTTTTTTTTGCAATGAAAATAATCCTGCTGATTTTTATTTATTAATAAACCAATTCTGGCACTACTTTTCTATAAAATTTAACACAAGGATTTATACTAGATTTTACTCACCAAACTCATCAAAGTTACAAGCATGAAGCATTATTATTACTATGCTCTACATAAATTTTGTTATTATCTACCTTCTGAAATTACCTTCAAAATAACATAACATGTACTTTTTAAAATTTAAAAGGAATCTTCAACATTTTAAAATTCCAAATTTTATTAAAATTATGAATGAGGATACCACAAGCTATAGTAAAGAAAACAAAATTATTTTTAAGTCTACTTTATAGCCAGAAAAATTTGTGTTCACGCCTTTAAAACCATATGCATATCTAAAGCAATCAACCAGAGGCAAGAAAATTAGGGGCACTTCAATGATGACAGACAACTGCAGAAATTAAGTTTGGTTTGGTTATGTGATTGAAGTCTAGAGGGCTATCTGCCTAAGGGGAGGAATGCCTTCATTGAGGACGTTTTAAGGGAAACTCGTATACATGTTACACAAGGGAAAAAACATGAAAACGCCCAAGCAGCCTCCCTTGGTGGTATTCGAGCCTCGGACTGAACTACCAGTGTTTAGCGACCACTCTCTCGCTGGTTGGCCTGCAGAAATTAAGAACAGATTTATCAGATCTGCTGTCTGTAAGATAGGACAGAGTTTGACTATAAATTCCTATACACTACAAGCTATAAGCAACTACAGATTATTGCTGCATGGCGTCTTTCTCATTTATTCTTCTAGTGCCTGTGGAGAAGACTTTTCAAAGTCATGGAGAGAGACTTTTTTTAATGCATTAAAATAATCTGATTATTAAGTTACTAAATCCCTTTATAAAATATTCTGATATTTGCAACTCACATTACTTCTTCTTCTTTTTTTTTTTTTTTTTTTTTTTAATCATTGCACACCATGTTTTTAAGTTCACTTGTGTAAATTAGGTGAAAAAATTTTAATAGTCTCAATGCTTTGGAAGCGAAGAGCTTTATTCGTTAATGAAGGCTGCTAAACATTCTCTACCATTCTGAAAGAATTTTGAACCTTTCACAAAAATTAATTAGACTATATAAACCATTTACCTCATCTTCTCAATAATCATTCTATTTTATGACATATGTTATCTGTTTTTCTTCAAATTATTTTTCTACTCAACTGTTTCCATCTGTTTAAACTTACACTTTCTTTAATGATATGTATTTTCAGCATTAGTTACTTTGACTACTGTACTGAAGGGCCCAGATTCGAATCCTGGAGAAAGCATGAATGCAGACTGTCAGTCCATTCAAAGAAGGTAACAGAGGCCTACCTATTAGGTGTCACCATAATAAATAGAGCACAGCTTCCGGCCTTAGTAGGGGCTAATGCCTATTATGACTAGTGCTCCCCCACTGGAAAAAATATTTTCAGCAGATGGAAATTATAAAATACTTGACTTTTGGCCCCATGCTTGTGAAAAAGGAATGACACTTTATTCTAAACTCAGAAGGACAACAACAAAAACAACAAATGTGAAATAAGTTGAAGCTAATGCAACAAGAGTCAGCAAATGTTCGCTGGATGGCATAGGTGCAGCCAAGAGGCAATCATTTCAAGACAGAAAAGGAACATGCCAAAGTAAAACATAAAATTAACAAAGAAACAACCTTGTGTTTGGTATAGATTTTAGTCAAGACTGTATCGATTTCGAAGGCAGACAGGTACAGGTCTCTCTTCATAAAGAGCAAAGAAATCACTGCTGCTCATGAAGAGAAACTTGTACCGGGTCCGTGACACTTAGCCGACACGTACACTTACCCAACAGGTCATTTAGCCAACACGGACAGTTAGCCGACGGAAATTTAGCCGACACGGACAGTTAGCCGACAGGACATTTAGTCAACAGGTTACTAACCGACAGTGACGATTAACTGACACGTACCCAAAAATTATTAAAACTATGAATTATAAAATTTCTCGGCTTCTCCATAAGTTCAGTATTTAAGTCTTTTCCCACCTATCAGTAAAATTCATTTTTCGATTCTTAAAGATCTCATATGTGCTATTAATTATTGTGTTAATTTAGCATTGTTTGATATGTTTCGTGCTGTTTGGTGTACATTGGCCAAATTGAAAAAGCACTGAAATTCCTCGTCAGGGAATATGAATTAAATTTCGAAAGGAAAAAAGAATTTTTTTACAGCGGTCACTTAATTTTAATATGATCTTCAAAAACTATCCATAAAGCTAAACCAAAAATAAGAAAAAGAAGGAATGAAAGGAAAAAAAAAAAAAATAATAAATAAATAAAATTAATGAAAAATGAAATGAAAATTTATACATTTTTAACAGATATTGCGAAAAGTTATATTTTATAAGAAAAAAAATTAATATAACATATTATATTGAAAATTACACATCACGACTTTCAAAACATAGTATAATATAATATTTTCTATTTACATGACTGATCTAGTTAAATCTAGATCAGTCATGTAAATAGAAATCTATAAATGTAATCTATGAATGGTATGTAATCTATAAATGGTACCACATTACTGTGACTTTTACAATGTGACGCTTTGCTCCGCCCTACTTGGTTTGTGGCCCCTCCTTCTGCAGCTTAAGTTATGAATAAAACAAAACCTTAAAGAATATTTTACTTCTAAATTAAACATTATGCACTAGTTTAGTTCTATAACCTAAGTATTTTAAATGAGAGGCATGGTCAATAAAATGTTACAGAATTTTTATCTCAAGAATGGTGGCCTGAACTGCAAATTATAGAGGTCACAAATAATTCATTCCTTTGCTTGTCTTAAAAATTCACTTTTTAAAATTGTTTTTAATAACAAAATAAAATATATTTGCTAAACTAACCCTCGCCACCATATGTTTCTATAAAAAGTATAATTAAGTAAAAGTATAAGAATAACAATAATATTTATTGCATTATTCAAATTTTTCATGACAGGGAAAGAAAATTTCATTAGTGGGAGAAGCAAAACGATTTTGTAAGGGAAAGAATGTAACATGATGTGATGAGTAAAATAGTAATGAAACGTAAAGGTATTAGAAATTTGAAAGCATTTGGGAGAGCAAGATTGGAAAATTAATATCATTAAGTAAACAAGAAATTATGTAACAAGTATTATGTAACATTAAGTAAACAAGAATTAATGATGTGAAAGTGATCAAAAGAACTCAGTTGATCAAATGAACAAGCTTTATGGATAATTTTTAACCAAAATAATAAAAGGATAATTTTAAAACAATTAAAAAATGTAATAGTGACCGCCTACTTAACTGAAAAGTTCCTTTTTCCTTTCCGAAATTTCATTCATATTCCGATGAGAAACAGTGCTTTTTCAATTTGGCCAATATATACCAAACGACGAAAATATCAAAAACAATGCTAAATTAAACACATAATTAAAAGCACGTATGAGATCTTTAAGAATCAAAACTGAATTTACTGATAGTGAAAAAATAACTTAAATTTGAACTTATGGAGAAGTGAGAAATTTGTAATTGATAGTAAGTTTGAATAATTATTGGGTACGTGTCAGTTAAACGCCACTGTCGGCTTAGTGTCCTGTTGACTAAATGTGTTGACAGTTAAGTGTCCTGGAGTTAAATGTCCTGACAGCTAACTCTCCGTGTCGGCTAACAGCCCGCGTCGGGTAAGTGTCTTGTCAGCTAACAGCCCGCGTCGGGTAAGTGTCTTGTCAGCTAACTGTCCGTGTCGGCTAAATGACTTGTCGGTTAAGTGTCCGTGTCGGCTAAGTGTCCCTGTCAGCTAAATGTTTTGTTGGCTAACTGGTGTCGGTTAAGTGTCTTCAACCGACCAACTGTTTGCCCTTGATACAGTCTTGATTAAAATACATGTCAAACACGGGGTTGTTGCTTTGTTAATTTTGGGCAATAATTTATTGACACATATTGCCATTTTGGTGTCAAATGAACTTCTTGATAACAGGAAAGACACAAATACTCATATGTTAAACTTTTGAATTATTCTTCAGCTTTCATAACACAGCTACAGGGTAATTAATAACATCTACAGAGTAATTAATACTGAAATAATCTTTAAAATTTGTGCCTTTGGCTTTTAGAATTTTATCAAGAAATGCACAATTTCATTGTCTTAATTTTTTTCCCTCTAATTTCTTTTTAAACATTTTAAAATTTCTGTTTCTTATTTTATCAAATAAAAATATGTCAGCTGCTTGGAAAAGAAATTTTTAATATTACTAGTGGTAGAATTTAAGCTAGCAGATAATTAAAAAATTGAAATTCTACTTATAATTACAATTTTTTTGAGCCACTGTTATAAAACTTAACAAAGAATACTACAAAGACTTTTACACACAATTAAGAATCCATAAAAGGTAAACTAATAGTAAATATACTTTTAAAGGGTAATTCTAATTCAAAATACATGCAAAGCATTTAAACTTACTTTAAAAATGCAATTTTGTACCCAATGATGCTTGATACAATGAATGCCAGCAGCTATGCACTGAATATATTTCATTGTTCTGAGATATGAATTTGCTAATAAAAAGATATTTTTCTTTGTACACGTCTAAAAAACATTGAAAATAACTTTTAGAATGCACACTGAAATACTAAGCATACATATAAAACAAAATGGAAGCAGCTTACAAAGTGAACTCATTTAGATAAACATACCTGAATATCATCAAATCTGTCAAGTATTAAACCGCCTCCAGATACTATATACTGACACAGTTCATCTTTATCAAATGGTATAATATCATACTCTACAAAAACATAAAATTTTAATAAAAAGTAACAAATTATTATAATTACAATAAAACTGAAATGCAATAATTTACTGTAAAATGGCCAATCACACGTCTTATGATTTTCACAAAGGAAAGAAAATACAAAATTTTCACATTATTATTCAAAATATAATAAAATACAATTCATACATAATACAGTTTTAAAAACAAAAGTTAAGGTAATCAAATCAAATGCTTTGAAAAATTTGTGACAAGGATTTATTTTAGAGAAGATACTTAGTAAATCTTAATTAGTTTTATTTACATATAGATTATTAACAATAAAATAAATCTGTAAGTAGGTAGCATTTTCTTTAAATTTACCAACAGTCAACTTTATATCAGTTCTTCCCTTTTACACCTCATCTCTTCTCAGTAGTTGTAAAGAATAGTTTTTCTTTAATTTTTACATTTTTGGGTTGTATCTTGCAGCCACAATAAATATTAAGAGAAGGTGATAACTCATCATTACATGTAAATATAACTTCTAAAGGTGAGCAGTTAGTTACAAATAATTAAATTATGTAACCACAGTCATAACAGATTTACATGGTTACAATTACAATTTTTGTTTATTTCTAAAATATATCCATTTAAAGGCACTAAGAAAACTTTAAAGCAGTTATAATTTATGATAATGATTCTAAAATGGTATTAGTATAATTATACATTAAAAGCTACAAAACATTTATGTTTTGTAACAATGACAAATAACAAAATATGTGTCTTTTAATTTCAAAATTTTCGAGATATTTTAGATAATTTACACCATTTTCCTTCTCTTTAGCATCTTTTTTGTTTTTTTCAACAAGCAAATCAATGTTCCCATCAGTCTCTGCTTCATCTCCTAATTTGTTTAAATTTCAAAAATGTAGCTTTAAAGAATAATTTTCTCTCTCTTCATCTTTCTCAATGAATTCCCTTTTTATTTTAGAATTTTCAGATTTATTTGAAGATTTATGTGGTTTTAAAGAATGGCATGTACTTAGAATATATAGGAGGAATTGCTGATTTTATTTCTTTAATAATATGAGTATTGACAATAAAATTTGAAATGATATTAGGTTAGGGCCAGTGCCAGAATTTTAGGATTTAGAAGCATTGAGCAATGAAAGTTAGGGCAAAATATTTAGAACTTAGGGCAGGCACTGAAGTATGTATGGTGTACTGAGACATATGTGATGAATCTTTTAATAAATTGTCTGTTTTTTTTTTTTTTCTTTCTTTGATTGTTTCAATCTTTGTGTCTAAAGGGGAGATATGAAAATAAACGGAAGATAAACATGTTAAGAGAATGATTTCTTGAATCAAAAGGAGAAAATTCAAATAATTGTGTTTTGGCTGTTTTTCCAAAAATTCTCCAAAAGATTATTCAGGTTTCGTACACATTTTTGCACACGGAAATTAAGTACTTTTAAGGACCATTAATGAAAAAATTAAGGACCTATAAGCAATTGGGAACTGAATAAATTCAATTAAAAATATTATCTATGCTGAACTTCACTTTTGTAATACCATTCTAAAAATAAAACAGATCCATAAGTCGGATGCATTATTATTAAACATAATAATAATATGGATTATTATTAACATAATTATAATTATTAATAGTTTTGAATAAAATAATTTTGTGAAATTTTATCAAGTAGCATTAAATATTTTACACTCATAATAATTGGATATATTTGAAAGAAGAAAAGTGACATTTTATTTAGGTTTTCTAACAGTTAGCTTTACGTTGATTTTTGTTAATGTCTCATTTTGTCACATACTTGCTCAGTCTAGGGGTTTAGTAAGTAGATTTTATGTCAAGCGGCATAAAGTGAGAAGTAAAATCACAATCAGCATAATTCAAAACAAAAGACTGGCTGTTGTCACCGCTCCTGCTAGAGATCTGCTGATCAGAACAAACCTAAAAGACCTGATGTAAGCCTGGTTTGCAAGTTTTGAAAGTTAGCTGGGCTCTGTCTGATGCAGTTAGTGTCATAGTTTCTTGTAGAGTAAGAACCTTGTAGAGTTCCAGGGGTTGTAACTCAGTTAATATAGTTTAAGTTTTACTGTTTCTTAGAAATTACTAATGCCAGTTTTTCCATTTCATAATAAATGCTAATTAATATAAAAAATTTGCTATGCATCATTTTTTTGTAACATCTATTACTTCTTTTATAATAAAAAAATAAGCTGTACCCATGTGTATATGTTCACATATATATGAAGGAGTCGGAGTTATTAAAATTTCGGGAGTCGGAGTCGGAGTTGGTCATTTTCCCTACCAACTCCACAGCCCTGGTTATAATTAAATTACGTATTAGATAACCTCAGTCATTATGGATTTACATGGGCACTATTAAATTTTAAAATTGCAGAGTTTAAAATACATGTAATTTATAGCATTGAATCTTAAACGATATTAGGATAATTATAAATTAAAAGCTATAAAATATTTATGTTTTGTAGCAACAACACTCAACAAAACATTTATGCATCTTTTTAATTTGTTGAAGCCTTCCTAGACATTTTGGCTAATTTATACCCATTTCCTTCTCTTTAAACATCTTTTCTAACAGTTAGAACTTTGACTCAATACGCAAGACAAAATGTCCTCACTAGTTTCTACGTGTTTTAGCTCCTAACCTGTCAACTTCTCCAAAATGTACACATGAGGGTTTACTTGATCTGGTAAAAGTTAAATAGTCCAAAACCCTCTGGACAGATGTGAAGCAAATTATCGCTACGTCTGAAAGTAGCTACAAAGATTTAAATAAGCTTCTTATTTAAAAAGAACTCAGAACATAAGGGCATGTTATAATGCTAAATAAATCAATTACAGCTCATGATGATGTAATTAAACAAGAATAATCCAATTCAAACTAAAAATATGGACTAGTGATCAAAGACTATAACAATTTAATTTCATTTTAAGCTGTAACATTTCAAGCTCAGTAACTTTATCGTGATAACAAATTCAAATATCGGCACGGTAATGTAAAACGAGTCATTACAAATTATCAGAGGTGGCAGGAACTAATGCAGGGAGCAAGTGGAGGTCAGAAATACACTCTTGTCTTACACTCCAAAAACCTCAGTTTAAAAACTAAGTGATTTGCATTCTGCTGAGAAAATAGAAATGGAAAATTATAATAAAGGCTGAAATTGTAAACAACTGGGTAATTTACATAATAATATCTGTGCATATCTTTGAAGAAATAATTTCCCTTTCTCTTAAGTATTCAGTTTCTTTCTTCCCCCAATTTCCTTTCCATTTTAGAATTTTGGATTTAATTAAAGATTTTCTGTTATTCTAAAAACACTAAATGCATTTAGAATGTACAGAGTAAGCTGCTAATTTTATTTCTTAATACTATATTATTCAGAAGAAATATGAAAATATTATGGTCCGGTAACAAAGCTTTGTGACGAATTTTTAGAATTTAATAACACATCGGCAACAAAAATCTAGAAATTAAAAATTTTAGAATTTAGAACAGGCATTGGAAAGCAGAATTTAAAAGGCACCAGGCAGCAGATTTTAGGATCTACAGAGATTGTATCAGTGGGAAATCCTAGTGCCATCCCTGTCATGATGCATTAAGACTATTAAGGAATAGTTAAATGTCAGTTTTAAATTCTTTATTTAAAAAATTCTTTTCTATAATGCCTGTCCATATGATAAGATAAGAAGCATTTCTGATATTTTATGCTTGTGTCCTAGTGACCTTGCTTATTTTCAGATTCAAAATTATGTATAAGTGGCCAAATGAACTTTATAATACAACAGCAAAAATAAAAATGCTTTATTCTAATGTTATTTTCTTAATGTAATTACAATATTTATCATTATTTTAATGAAATTTATCAATGTTACAATGTTCTAACAAAATCGTCGAAAAATTCCCAGTTCTCGGAATTAAAAATTTTCTATAGAAACTTATCTTAAAATCGCCAAAATGTTGCTAAGTCACAAAATTTAGAGCAGTTTAATAAAAGAATTCATATCTCCAAAAGCGAAAAGTTGTTTAAGAGCTCTTCACTAGAAAAAATGAAATAATTTTGAAATGCTTGTGTTGCACTTCTTGCTCAGAAACTCTATCCCACCATTTATATTAGAAATAGGAACAAATTATAATCCATAAACGCATTTACCCATTCAAAAGATAACGATATTTGTCAGCGAATTAAAAAAAATATTCCTCCAAAATGCTAATTCCCACTCAAATTGGCAATGGAAAAAACAGACAGAAATTTCAGATCATTAAAATTAAGGACCTTCTGCCGATTTTGGCCAAAATTAAGGACTTTTAAGGACCAAAAACCGATTCTAAAAAACTTAAGGACTTTTAAGGACTCTTAAGGACCGTACGAACCCTGTTATTAATCACAAATTTCCTACAAAATACGTCCATTACATATTAATACCCCGAAGAAAATCGATAACTATCACAATGTTATTTATCTCCCCAAAAAACTGCATTCTAGTAAGGATACACAGTATTATTATCATTACAGTACCTAATAAGACATCTTCATTTGTACTTCCGTATATCTAGAATCTTGCCCACTCTTGTTGTCCCTGTTACTCCCTAAGCCTCAAATAATAGAATAAAGGAATAAAATATCATATGACAAACAAAAAGCAATATTTCTTTCATTCTTCCCAAGCATTTTATTCAGGTGAAAACTAATTACATGTACATGCAATCATGCAGAATGCATCAATAGCAGCAACAGCTATAAATACAGTTACATAAGTATTTAACATAATTACTTCAAGCATATCAAACACTTAAATGCATTGAACATAAGTACTTCAAGCATATCAAACGCTTAAATGCATTGAAATTTCTTCACAAAACATAAATATTTATTCTAGTTTCTTCTAATTTTTTTCCTGTCATGTCAGAATAGAAAAGAATTTATACAAATTTTTCTTGAAATTATGACTTGCAAATGTTGATTTGCTTTGTTTCAATTAATTATAACTTTAATTAAAAATATTTTTATATTATAAGTCGAAGTTTAAGACATAAGAAAAAATACAAATAATAAAATACCTTCTGCACTGCATTCAGATTCATTTGAGACAGGCTTGGGTATATTTTTTCGTTCAGCATTTGTCAACAGAAAAGCATAATCTTTAAATAATTTTGCAACTTTTTTACTTCCTGAAATAATAATAATTATAAAGAAAATGTCACACAAATTTTCATGAAAATTTTACATTGTTAAATTATTACAAACTTGGCGCATGCTTAATTTTAAACTTATTTCACCCATAGGACTTACTCTGTACAATAGCTTTAGTTGTTTTCACAGCACTTGCTTTTGCTGCTCTCCTAGTTCTAACAGCTCTTTTTTTAGAAGGTTCTTCAACGTCTGCTACTGCATCAGAAGTCTTCGAACCACTTAATTCAACATGGGATTCTGATGTGCTGTCTAAATTGGAATCTGGTTTTAAATTTCTGTGTGAGATTCTTGGAGATTTCTTTAATACTGGGCTAGACTGAGGAGACTGTACTGACTTTCTTTTCCTTTTACCATCTATTATATTATCTAATTGAGGATTAAAAAAATTCTTTTAACTAATCAAAATAACTTAATGCTTTATAAAAATTACAGTTTCTTTCATTAAGCACATAAAGTATGGTTTGAGAACAGAATAAGCAAAATACAACGACCTAAACAAATACACGCATACAACTTATCCTTACGTTGAAGAGCACTTCTTTAAAAATTTCTCATCAGACTTACTATAACTTGAATTACATGCTTTGAGAAACAAAAAAATTAGCTGGTTTTAGATTCTGCAAAATGTAACATTAAAATTTTTTTATTACATTTCTACTGTAATAAAACATAAAAAAACTGTCATTATTGATGCTCAATTAACCTGAATCAAAATAATGGCATTTTTGAAAGTTTATATTATGTAGGGTTTATATTTATTTTAACTAACATTTATTTTAAGTTTAAACTATCTTTCCTGTCAAGCCTTACTTTCCCCTGGAACTGCCAATGCCAGAATATGTAAATTTGAGTAGAACGCGCAAGCATTCAAATTATCAGCGGAAGTATTCTGATTTAAATAGAAGGAAACAAGTTCGGTATGTGATTTCTTACTTAGCGAGCGCGGAGGTAGTTAGCGAGAAATTGAAAGAACCCCGCGTTGCGGCCTATGTGCTTGGCGGGAAGTAGTGTTAATCGTTCCAGTGAGCTTCAAGTCTGCTGAATTAGCAGCGGTATTGTAAAACGCGGCGGTGAGTTAGTTATTTTAGAGAGCCTCGTAGTTAGAATCTTGTCTTTAGTTTCTTTTCAGGTTATTATTTTTATTTGACTGCCGAGTTGGCACCGTCTGTAAGCGTCAAGAGAACGCAATTGTAATTTATTACGTTGAATAAAAAGGGACTTAAACCCTTTACAAGACTCTGTGTTTTATACAGTTTCCACAGTCACCCCTTGGTTGCGTGCAACGTTATATTGGCGCCCGAACAATTATCGAACTGAAATGGCCGAAAACTGGATGGAAGCCGCTGGACAACACCAAGAAATGACAAGTCAGTTAGAAGGATTTGGATACCTGGTCCAGACTTTGAGAGCATCAATCAAGCCAAACGTCTATTTCGACGGAAAAAATTTGGTGGCGGTATTTCTCGAAGGTCTAGAAAAAAACCACTTTCAGCTCTACCCTGTGCCTGAAAGACAAAAAGATTGCCATCGCACATCAGCACTAAGAGGACAGGCCGCGCTATGGTGGAAGAAAAACATAGGCAAATTTTTATTAGGGGAATTTGGAAGCCCGACATATACATTTGAAAATTTCAAAAAATCGTTAGTAAAGGCCTTCCCCATAGTGAAAGATCGCGCACGGCTGGAAGCCGAGCTATATAGTTTCTATCAACGGGATACAGCAGAATTGACGGACTTTATTCTACGAAAAATCAAGCTAACGGATATGCTGTATGGAAAGAAAAATCCGATGATGCGGAGATTATTGAAATAATATTACCAAGATTGTTACCCGCTGTCCAAGACTACTTTGAAATTAGAAACCCAAGCACATTGCAGGAACTTTTCGAATTGGCGGTGAAGTTTCAAAATCGCAGAATAGCGGAAAAAGCGAGAAGGGGAAAGAGGGGAAACATATTCTCAAAGTACCCGAAGGAAGGAGGAAAACCAGAAATGGAAATCGCTTATGGGGAAAGAACTATCAAGCTAACGCATCGAAACTCGAAGGTCAAGGCCCAAAAAGAAAATTTGAAAATAAACATCCGCGTACCCAGAAGACACAGATTGAAAAGAAAGCTTTAAACGAGTAGAGGGGCCTGTGAAAGGGAGGGGAGGGTCCAGACCCCGGAAGTTTTAAAAAAACCCTCAAATAGACATTTAAACACGGTCATCGTAAAAAACTCACAGCTACCAATTATACAAGTCCTGGTTGGCGATGTACCAGTAGAAGCCCTCATCGATACAGGAGCAGAAGGAAATTTTATGAGTGAAAATTTCTTCAAAAAGAATTTTTATAGGATACGATATTTAAAACCAAAAAAAATACGGAAATTATAGCGGCGCAAGGAAAAACATGTCCACTGCATCGGGAAATTATCATTAAACTTACAGGTAAAAGAGGAAAATCTCAAAGTATTAATTTTTTTGTGGTGAAAGACCTCCAACACTCTCTTATTTTAGGTATGGACTTTTTAAGGGCCGCGAGGGCCAAATTAAATTTTCAAGATAGTTCCGTGGTGTTGGAGATGGACCAGAGGGTGGTGGAACCTGTGGAGACACCTGAAGTGGACCTTAGCCATCTGAATGACCATGAAAGTAAAGCAATACAGCAAGTGGTGAGTAATTTTCTCATTTGTTTTCAGAAAAACCAGGAAACTGCCAAATCGTGACTCACAAGATTCAATTAAATGCCGAAAAACCTTGTAGGACTAAACCGTATCGTTATGATAAACAAAAAGACCTAATCATCGAAGAACATATTAAAGAATAAAATAATAACGCCCATAAATAGTGAGTACGCGAGTCCAGTCGTACTATGTAGGAAAAAGAACGAGTTTCCTCCTTCGGATAAAAGGGCTTGGAGGTTTGCTATTGATTACAGAAAACTAAATAGTATTACCAAATTTCCAGTTTACCCTTTGCCGGTTATAGACGAGATCATTAGACAGATCAAATCGACAAGATATATGTCTACTTTGGACTTAACGTCTGGCTACTATCAAATAGCTATGAGACCCGAAGATATACATAAAACCGCGTTTATAACAAAATCGGGCACTTATGCATTTTTACGCATGCCCTTTGGGTTGTGTGGGGCCCCATCAACATTCCAGAGAGCTATGGACATTGTTCTAAAGCCTGTCCTAGGAAAATCAACTTTAATTTATCTAGATGATATAATTATAACGAGTAGTAGTACGTTGGAACAACACATTAATGACCTCGAACAAAGTTTTTAAATTATTAAAAGAGGCCGGTCTTACAATTAACGCCTCAAAATGCAAGTTCGCAACTAAAGAACTTAAATATCTCGGTTATAAAAATTTCGCAAAAGGGTATAGAAACGCAAGATTCAAAAATAAAAGCTATTAAGAATTTCCCACCGCCCAACACCGCCAAGAAACTTTCTTCCTTCCTTGGGTTATGTTCTTACTATCGATCTTTCATAAAAGATTTCGCTAATATTGTTGAACCACTCTTAGTAATCAAAAGAAAAAAAAGAGTAAATTAAATTTACGTGGACAGCGGAAGCTAACACAGCTTTTGAAAGATTAAAAGAAGCGCTTATTAATGCCCCTGTTTTAAAATTCCCTGAGGGGACGAAAACCTGGAAATTGCAGGCAGATGCGTCAGACTATGCGGTGGGTGCGGTTCTTATGCAAAATAACCATCCGCTGGCATTTTTTAGTAAAACATTTGAATCAGACACAAAGGAATTATACAGCTACAGAAAGAGAAACATTAGCCGTATTAATGGCTGTACACAAATTTCGAGTTTATTTCGGCAAATCGCCAGTAACAGTCTTTTCGGATCATGCGGCTGTTGGTAGACTTTACTCGGGAAAAAAAAACCTAACGCCCAGGTTAATAAGATGGGCTTTAAAACTCCAAGAATATAATATCACAATAAAATATAAACCGGGTAAGGAAAACAATGTAGCTGACGCACTTTCTCGTATAAAAAACTGGACGATGAAGGAAATGAACTTAAATGCGCTGTGTTGACTTCAAAAATTTTAGATTCTAGAGATACGGTTATTACTGAACTGAAAGCTGATCCTGAATTTGGAAATATCTATGCTTATTTGAAAGACCCCGAAAGCTTTGAGCACACAGATATCGATGCGATAAGAAATAGAGCAAAAAACTATGAAATAATAGATAATTTATTATTCTATACGAAAACAACAAACGAAAATCTTGAGTATAAGCCAGTCATCCCAGCCTCGCTTCGATTAAGCATTTTGAAGAAGTTGCACGAAGAAAAAACAGCGGGACACCTCGGGGTCAGAAAGACTATAAAAAGGGTACGCGAGGCGGTATATTTCCCGCAATTATACAAAATAGTAACGGCGTATGTCAGGTCCTGCAATCAATGTCAGTTAATAAATGATATTAATTACAGCCCGGCCGGGTACTTAAATAGCATTCGCGCTACATTTCCGAATGAAATTTTAGGCATAGATCTTCTTGGTCCCTTCCCCCAGAGCGAGTTAAATAAAAATCGTTTTCTTTTAGTAATAGTAGATCATTTTTCAAAATGGATAGAAATTGTTCCACTTAAACGCGCGTCAGCCAAAACAGTCGCAGATGCATTCTTACACAGATACATTTTAAAATACGGTGCACCGATAAAAGTCATTAGCGATAACGGAAAACAATTCATTAGTCAAATATTTGAAAACATATGCAATGGACTTGGCATACGCCATATCAAAATGGTTCCGTATAGACCACAGGCTAACATAGCAGAAAGAGTTATAAAAAACATAGTAAAAATAATTCGCAGTTTACGTGAGCACACATCACAAGCGCTGGGATGGCTACATAAATGAATTAGCTTATGCTTTAAGAACGGCACATCATGATACTACGGGAAAAACTCCAGCAGAATTATTTTTAGGCCGAAAGTTAATTACGCCTTTAGATAAATTATTCTTTGTGCAACAAAGAGAGAGCAGGAGTTTAAACAAAAACAAGATGTGCAAAATTTGATTGATCAGGCACTTAAAACCTCGGATACGGCAAGAAATAGAAACAGAAACTATATTACGATAGAAAACGCCGTGAAGCAGATTTTAAAGTTGGGGATAAAGTATTGAAGCGGAAATTTTCTTTATCAAGTGCCCCAGACAATTTTATGGCAAAGCTAGCTCCAAAGTTTGAAGGCCCCTATGTAATTCAGGAAATCAAAGGAGTAGTCTTATATCTTAAGAACGAGAGGGGGAGGGGAAATCTGTAAAGCAAGTCCCGACCAGGTGAAAAAATACTATAATCCAAATGATTTTGAAATCCTTAAAAGTTTCTTGCAGGACTCAAGTCTAAAC